CTCACTCACTCACTCACTCACTCACTCACTCACTCACTCACTCACTCACTCACTCACTCACTCAATATTCGTCATTACTGTCAGAGGCAATATTCGCTCTTGGTACCGAGCATCCAGCTTCCGTAGAAAACCCCAGAAGCTTTGTGGTGAGGAACTGGGGGCAGCTCCTGTGGTCGACACCACAGGCACAGGTGAGGCAGGGCCAGAAAAGGAAGGCGGTCCTGGCCCACAGTGCAGGGGGAGGTGTCGTCCTGGGAGGGGCTGGAGGGCCCTGCTCCCAGATGGCTCCTGCTTTTCCTCCCCTCAACTGCCCTTCTCACTGCTGTCCAGGCGGCAGGGCCGGGCCCAACTGCCCCCATGGGTTTCGGAGGAGACAGCTCTTTACAGGAGTAGAAAGCCTCACCACCCTCCCCAAGAGCAGCTGGGCATTTTGAACCGTTGACCTTGCAGTTAGCCCAACACATAGCCAGTTTCTCCATGGCAGCAGGCTGGGCCTGGGCCCAGGATTTAACCTTCAACCATCCCTTGCCTCCCATCTCCTTCTCACCCTCTGGTCTCGGCATGAGGTGGCCGAACCCACCAGGGCAGCCGTTGACATGGAGGGCAAAGGGTTAGGGGCAGAGGTGGGGGAGGGAAGCGATGCAGGCTTCCAGGCCAGGGGCAGGAACTTTCCGTGCCTCTCCCCAGGAGGTCCTGGGTGGTGCAAATGGTTCACATGCAGATGCTAACAGAAAGGCAGGAGGTTCAAGCCCACTCAGAGGCACCTTGGAAGAACGGCCTGGTGACATCCGTCATTGGAAGCCAGGGGACACAGCTCAACTCTGCAGCAGGCTTGCTGTAAGTCGGCGCAGACTTGACAGCAACTGCCTTCTGGTTTGCTTCTTAAAATTTCTCTCCCTCAACCTTTGACCTAGATCTCTCCCACACGAAGATCTTCTCAGATGGAGATGAACCTGACCCCCCATAAGCGAAGGGATTTCCACCAAGTGCACAGCTGCTTCATGCCCTCTGTGATCAAGCCCAGGCCCCTACCCCAGGGGCCAGCACCTTTTATTCCATTGAGGGACTAGGACCCACCCTAGAACTGAGCCACTGGTCTCAGGAGCCCCCACCGACCCTCTGCTGGAGCCCTGCTCTGCTCCCCACCACCTCAATCCCCAGAGACCTCCCTGCTTGCATTGCATGTCTCTTCAGCAAGGTCTCTGGGCCTTTCTAATCTTCCTACCACGTTGCCAGAGCCGAGGGCACCCTCTCATCTGGGATCAGGGCCCCGCCCAGTAACTCGCTGATTGGGGCCCCGCTGGGGAACATGTCCCTTCTACGGCATCTTCAGCCTTCTCTTGGTGGGTGCCGAGACAGCTGGGTGGGGAGAACATAGGACTGGGCACCAGGAGCCTGGGTTGAAGTTTTAACGGCTCCAGCATTGTTGTTAGGTGCCAGCAAGCTAATGCTGGCGCGGTGACTGAGAAGGCAGAGAAGCACCTCCTAGGGTTTCCAGGACTGTCATTTTTATGGAAACAGAGTTAGCCTCGTCCTTCTCCCACAGAGTGGCTGATTGGTTTGAACCATCAACATTTCGGTTAGCAGCTCACTTAACCACCGTGCCAACAGAGCTCCTTTGTGAAAACAGCCTCCACCCAGCTTGCTGTGCTTCTCGTCCATCTCTTGGCCTTGTTTCCAGGGACAGATGAGCCAGTGTGAGACGAGGGATTTGTTTTCTCAGGGGAGGAAGGATGTGATACCGGCTCGCACTCAAAAACCAACGCACTGCCGTCAAGCTGATTCCGACTCACAGGAGAACCGCCCCTGCGGGCTTCCAAGACTGTCACTTTTTATGAGAGTGGAAGGCCTCGTCTTTCCCCGGTGGGGGAGGGGGGGCCGGCTGGTGGTCTCGAACTGCTGGTATTGTGGTTCGAAGCCCAACTCGTCACCCATCACACTGCCAGGGCTCCTTGTAATACAGGCAGGGGTGCTAAACCCAAACTGTGTGGCTGGGAATATACTAAGAATAAGCCCCCCCTCACCCTCCGATGCTGGGGCACCACCCAGACCTGGGCATTCGATGCCAGGCAAGCACGTCACCGTCCACATGGCCCTGCAGGTGGCCTGCACTAAGCACGTGTTGGAGAGTGTCCTCTGCGAGCACAAGGGGAGCTGCCTCCTCTTTTCAAAAAAGACATCTGCCATTCCGGCCGTCTTTAAGTGCACAGTTCTGTGGCATTCAGGTTCCTGTGCTTTGTGTAGCCATCACCACCGTCTACTTTCCAGTGCTACCACCCTTCACAGAAGGCAATGCCCCATGGCGTTCCCCTGCCGATAACCACCTGCAAGTGTTGTCCCTCGCAGGTGGCTATCTAGAGCTGTCATCTAAGGGAGCATGCGATCTTGTCTTTTGGTGCCACTCAGTTGTTTCACTCAGCACAACGTTTCCGAAGCGCATCTAGCGTCTATCAAAACCTCATTTCTCTGTAGTGCTGAGTGGTGTTCCATTGTGTGTGGACCGCCTTTGGTATATCCATTCACCTTCTGTGAGCATGCTGATTGTGACTTGCAATGGAGAACACTGTGTACAAGCACCTGAGCCCCTGCGCTTAGGTCTCCTCGATAGATAACTTGGGGTGGAATGGCTAGGCTCTGTATAATTCTCTACTTAGCTTTCAGAGGAACTGCTATATCATTTTATTACCAGACCGGCAATCCAGGAAGGTTCCAATTTCTCTGCATGCTCCTTTTTAACAGCTGCCAAGCATTCCATTGTGTAAATGTACCCCAACGGATCCAGTCAGTGCCCACTCTGCGGATGGATGCTTGAGTTGTGGGTTATATTGTTGGGCTGTTAACTACAAGGTCATCCGTTCAAAGCCACCAGCCACTCTGTGGGAGAAAGACGAGGCCTTCTACTCCCATAAGAGTTCATTCTCAGGAACTCACAGGGGCAGGTCTGTTCTGTGCTCTAGGGCGGCTGTCAGTTGGCATCGGCTCGATAACAGGGAGTTTGGGTTTGTTTGTTTGTGGCATCCTGAAGCACACATTTCTGTACACGTGTGTGAATGTGCGTGTCTGTGGGAGACAGTCCTAGCAGTGGCCCTTCTGGCTGAAAAGGGGAGGTGCATCCTTTTGTCTGTGTGGCGTTTCAGTATGTTCTGTCTTTGGGTGGCAGTGCGCACACTATCCCATCCGATACTCAGGGCAGTGTTGACTTTGAGGTCTCACCACATCAGGTGGGCGACCACCAGACAAAGCAGGAAGCCCCCCCACCCCCAAGCCTGGACATTTATCTGTCTGCTTGGTGGACTTCTGTTTGTGTGTGTGTGTGTGTGTGTGTGTGTGTGTATGTGTGTGTGTGTGTGAGATGAGGGAGGCCTGAATGTGAAATGCAGCCATTTCAGGCCCAGGATAGCTGGGGACCTGTCCCCAGGACCCTGAGAGCCTCACCGTTGCCCTCGCCACCCTCTCCAAGGCTCATCACTCTTCCCAACGGCGTCCTCCAGATCCTGGACGTCCAGGAGAGCGACACCGGCACCTACCGTTGCGTGGCCACCAACTCAGCCCGTCAGCGCCTCAGCCGGGAGGCCGTGCTCCGAGTGGCCCCTCGAGGTGAGTGTATGTGTAGGGGCCTGCGGGCTTGGTTTACAGGCCTGGGAAGGGCCTCAGGAGGGCCAGCCCAGGCCTCCAGATGAGGCAGTGAAGTCCAGTAGGAGCAGGTGCCACCCAGCAGGTGGAGACTAGAATGAACGAGAACTCAGGCCTTGGGAATTCCGATCCAGGGCCCCTCCCTTCCTGAGGACTCTCTGCCCCCTTGGGTTGGACAGGACTGCGGGAGGGAGGCATCTAAGATAGGGCTGTCATTGACCTGAGCCCTTGCTCTCCCGCCTCTCTTGTGTGAGGGTCCTGGGCAGTGGGGGATCCTCCCCTTAGCACCTGAGCACAGGGCGCTGGACCCCATGGCCCTGGAGTTGTCTCCATCTCGCTGTAAGCCTGCTGTTCCGAGTGCTGGTGTAGGAAGGGAGCAGGCTTTGGGGTCAGAACAACCTGCTTTGAATTGTGGCTTCTCTACCCACCATCTGTGCAACTCTGGGCTCCTTATCAGATGCCCAGCTACAGGGTAATGGTGAGAATATCTGAGATAAGTGTAAAGTGCCCGGTACCTAGCAGATGTTCAATAGATGTTAGCTCTGGCCTCCCCGAGGGAGGGCCCCTCGCTGGCCTCCTCTCCCGCCTGCCCTGGCGCTGGTCCTGTCACGCAGACACCCGCCTGCGCCTGGGGCCTCTCTGCTGCCACCTTCTGGGAAAACGAAGATTCCCTGTGCTGTCTCAAGGGGCCTGGGTCTCGCTGGGAACCAGGCAGAGAATGAGCAGGTTTCAAGAGCTGCCTGGCTGGCCGGAAGAAACTCCAGCCCAAGCCCACACCTCACACTTTCCTCCCGGGGAACCTGAGGGCCTTTCCCACAGTCACCCGGCACATTTGTGACGGTGCTGGAGCTAGGCCCTGGGGCTGCAGAGCTGAAGTCCGGGAGGGACTCCGTCCTTGAGCCTCCTTGGATGGTGGGTTGCAGGTGGGTTATGGGTGGATGAATGGGGCAGGTGTGGTCTGTCAGGTCATTTCTCTGATGCTGAATCAGTTCATTCTTCTCCTGGATTCAGGAGAAAGTCCCAGTGCTGCTGAGCTGTTTGGCCAAGCGGCTCTGCGGCTCTCTTTCCCCTCCCTCGAATTTCTGTCCAGTCGGCCGTTGTTGCTCCCAGGTCACAGTGAGCATCGGGTGAAGCACTGCATGTGAGGACATGTAGTGGTAAGGCTGTCTGCTGGCCTCTTCTCTCTCCAGGGTCCCTGGCATCTACCAGGGAGCTGGACGTGGTCATCGTAGCAGCCCCAGAGAACACCACAGTGGTGTCCGGTCAGAGTGTGGTGATGGAATGTGTGGCCTCGGCTGATCCCACCCCTTTTGTGTCCTGGGTCCGACAGGGTGAGTGAAGCAGGGAGGCAGAGGGCAGGTGGGAGGGCAGAGTGAAGGAGGAGTGGGACTTCTCCCCTACTTCCAAACTAGGGGGCTGGCAGGGAGCCACTATGGTTCGGCAGGAACTCCTCTCCCGGGGCTGAGCATGCTGGACCACCAGGTTGGCAGCTGCTCACGAACAAGCTTGATCAACATCAATCAATGTAGTGTTGTTCCCTGACAAAGCAGCTAGAGTTGGCCAATCCCAACAGCATTCTTGAGACCCTAAATAGGGCAGCATCATGCTTACTCATTTCCATTCCTCACAAGTGTTGCAAGTGAGGGTTAGAGAGCAGGGAGGGGGACTCGAGGTCAGTAAGTCGGGTGGGACCAGGATTCCAGGGCTGTTCTGTTTAAGTACAAAGCCAATGTGCTCCTGTCTTTGTGGGCCCAGCATCATGCACACAGATGAGAGAGAGGCACACAACCTGCCCTCCAAATTCACGGTCTGCCCGAGGGAGACAAGTGCCAGGGGACCAGAGCCACTGCCGTTGCCATCAGGGTAACGCGTGCTGGGCCCAGCTCCACTCGGCAATTTACTGAGCACATTCACACCTTCTTCTGTGAGTGAGCCGGTCTGAAAGGAGGGACATCGGTGACACAGCCCCAACATTAGAGCCTGTTAGGTTCCTGGAGCACCGCTCCCTACAGTCCTGTGAGCAAGGAAACGCATTGCTATTGGGTTAATGCCCACTTGTAGCGACCCTACAGGGCTGAGTAGAACTGCCCCTGGGGGTTTCTTAGAACTGCCGAACTTGCTATTGACAGCGCAATGCGTGAGGAAGGATTATTTTTGTTTCCACTTGTCAATAAGAAGCGGCTTGTCCCATCTTGGGGCTGCAAGTGGTTTGCACTTGACTACTGAGCTAAAGGTTGTCGGTTTGAGCCTACTTGGTGGTACGGCACAGGGAAGTCCCAGAGGTCAGCCAAGCAACGCTATAGAGCACTTCTATTCTGTTAAATCCAGGGCGTGCCCTGGGTCGGAATTGGCTTGACAGCAGCAGGTTTGGTTTTGGGATTTGTCCCAACTTCGTGGCAGAAACAGATCTTGACCCAGCGCTTTCCCCTTCTTCTCTGGCTGATTCTATCACACACACACACCCTCCCCTCCCTGCAGCTGCCTTGTGTTTACTCCGTCACACATTCATTAGATAGACACTCATGTACGCGATGAATATACATTGTGAAAGAAAACGCATAAACGAACACCGAATGCCCACCACTGAGCTAATGGCGTAGAAGAGTGCTCATGCCTCCCGGCCTGCACCACCTGATAGGACTTATGACACTCGCCCGCAGGGCCCTCCTTAAGCTGTAGTGTCACCCAGAGGTCCCAATGCAATGTTGCTCAAATTCAGACCATGTGTTGGAATCCCCAGAGGAGCTCGTGAGACTGCATGCCCCCTCATTCACCCCTGGAGAGCTGTGAGCCAGGAATCGGTGTTTCACAAGGACCCTTAGGTCCTTGCTACTGAAAGTGGGTCCTTGGACCTGCCCCCTGGGGCTGGTTAGAAATGCAGACTCACAGGCCCGTCTTAACAAGTTTCCCAGGGCCTTTCGGGATCATCCAGGACGGATCTTCTTCGACTTACCCTCCCCAGAGGATCCTGACACCAGAAGTCCTGGGAATTCAGTGGGAAAAACTGCCTCCAGCCTTCTTGGATCAAACAAGCAAACAAACAACAATGCAAACCCACTTGTCTTGGAGCCTCATCAAATCTGGCTCAGAATGACCCTGGAGGGCAGAGGAGAGAGAATTGCCCCATTGGGTCCCCACAGCTGTCAGTAGGCTTCCTCTGTCTCCCTCTGAGAGGCTGGTGGGTTCAAACGGCTGTCCTTTGCGTGAACAGCTGAGCGTTTTAACCACGGTGTAGAACATGGAGGAGAAAAGAGCTGGAAAGGGCTGTTTTCTGCCCCGGCACTATGTATTCCCCTTCCAGGAGCTTGTGCTACTAAGTTAAAGGAGGACAGGGTTTCCCCGGTCTGGCTGCAAAGCTGTTCATGTCCACTGTAGAAAAGGAGGGGAAAACCAGAAGCCACAGGGCAACCTACACCCCAAGATAAAGATGGTGGAGATATGAGTGCATTTTTGTCCAGGTCTTTAAAATGCAGTTGCAGTTCCCCTTAAAAATGAAAGCAGGCTGCATTGACAATTCTGAATCCTATTTTCACCCAACTCACTGCCGTCAAGTTGATGCTGACTCACAGTGGTCCTACTGGGCAGGGTAGAACTGCCCCTGCGGGTTTCCAAGACTATAATTCTTTTTTTTTATTATTAATCCTTTTACCGGGAGCTCGTATAGATATCATAAAAATCCATAATTCAATTAGGTCAAGCATCAGTTTCCAAACATTTTCTTTCTTCTTGAACTCCTTGATATCAGCTCCCCTTTATCCCCTCCCTCCCCACCCTACCCTCCAGGAACCCTATTGTTGCTATTATATATTATTATTATTGCCATATTTTACCCTGCCCAATAAATCCATTCACCTACAATTCACCTGTTGTTCGCTCCCCTTGTCCTGTGGCCTCAGGGAGTCATTACTCCTGTTACTGTTTCTGAAGGGTTATCTATCTTGGCTTCCATGCATTGAACGATCTTAATTATACAATTGAACCTAGGCAGGTCTAACAAGATTAATGAGGTAAAACTAAAACACAAAAGCAAGGGGAGGAAATGTTTCAAGAACTAGAGGATAGTTATGTGTTTCATCGGTGCTATACCACACCCTGGATTTATCATCCCATTCATGTGACCTTTCTGTGAGGGACTGTCCAATTGTCTTACAGATGGATTTTGGTCTCCACTTTGTCCACACTTCTTCACATCAATTTTATTGCTTGCTTTTGAACTTCTTATACCCATTCCTGTCGACACGTCATGATCCCACAGGCTGGTGTCCTTCCTTGTGGGGTTTGTTGCTTCCCTGCTAGATGGCTGCTTGATTAACTACAATTCCTCAAGACCCCAGACATTATATCTTTTAATAGCCCAGCACCATCAAGGACTGTAACTCTTTTTTTTTTTCCCCCCAAAGATTTTAACTCTTTATGAGATTAGAAAGCTCATTTTTCTCCCGAGGTGGTTTTGAACTGCGTACCTAGTGGATTGCTGTCCTAGAAGTAACCACTACACCATCATGGCTCCTATTTCACCCAACAGCATTTTATAAATAGTTCCCCATCTTTAAAACGGCTTTAAGAATTACTTTTTAGTACTGCTTAATAGCCCATCATTTGATCTTGTCCCCTCCAGTTGTCCACTAATCCAGTGTACACTTCAATGACTCTCCTTGTTCACAAGTCCTTTGCTGTCATTCTGCCCATCCCCCAGGGCAGTCTCCCACAAATGGGATGGCTGGTTTCAAGGTCAAGGGGTAGCCCCTTTACAGTCCCATCAGCATTTACCCCTTCACCAGTGGTGCCAAGGACCGTTCTGAAAACTTCTCTGGTTTGATCGATGAAACATGGAACCGGGCTTTGATTGCTTGGCTCTTTAGTGCCCAGAAGTGCCATTCTGTTGGCCTTCACCATTGTGCATCTCTTCTGGATTTTCTGTTATTGTCTGGAAAGCAAGCATTTTTGTTGACCTGTTTTGTACTTTTCTTTTAACTCAAGATAAAAGCCCTTGCGAATATTCAAGTCTTCAGTCCAGGTTAGCTCTTAACAGCCATCACTGGGGTCTTGGGCGGAGGCCTTCTGAGGGCGATGTGGCCTACTGTCGGGCCTTGTAGAGCAAGTACTTATGGTCTGGCACTGTGCCACGCCTGCACCAACTTTTAAAAATAGTTTTATTGGCATATACTTCACATATCATATAATTTAAATGTTTAATCATATTAAGAGTTGTGCAATCATCACCACAATCAATTTCAGAACATTTTCTTCTCATACTAAGTGTTGTTAGCTTCCCATTTCCTCCCAAGCTCCCCTGCCCTACCCTGCCCTGGCCCTCGGCAATTGTCAATCCACCTGTATTCTGTTCCCTCTCACTGCAGCTCTTCCACCTAGGGGCCGTCTGCCCATTCTGCAGATTGAAAACAGGGCTTAGAGAAGCCGAGGGCTAGCAAATAGAGAAACGGCGATTCCTATTAAGGGCTGCTGTGTTTGCTTACCTGGCTTTGACATCCCAAGTCTGGAGATGGAGGGACAGTACCTAGTGGACCTGGTCATGGTGCGTGGAGGGCAGCCCGGTGCGCACACATGGGTCACGGCTATGATGCTGAGCAGCTCAGTCTCGTCATGCTGGCCATCTGCGGGCAGCCTGAGCTGCACAGCGTGTTCCCCTCTTTTTCCCCAGATGGGAAGCCCATCTCCACGGATGTCATCGTTCTGGGCCGCACCAACCTACTGATCGCCAGTGCGCAGCCCCGGCACTCAGGTGTCTACGTCTGCCGCGCCAACAAGCCCCGCACCCGAGACTTCGCCACGGCAGCAGCTGAGCTCCGCGTGCTGGGTGAGGCGGTGAGGCGGGGCAGAGTGGAGTTGGGACACAGGCTGGGGCTAAAGCAATATTCGGGAGGGGGGTGTGTTAGGGGGAATTGAGGAGTGGGGGTGGGGGCGGGGGCCCAGGGCTACAGAGGACTGGCTCCTGGCTGGGTAGGAGCCCTTAGCAAAGGGGCCTTGAAGAGGATGGGATGGTCAATTGGGGTAGGGGAAGCGTGGAACAGATTGGAGGACAGAGCGGTGACAAAAAGGGAAGAGAGGGTGGTTTGGGGCTGCCCTGGATGATTGGGAGGTGACTGGCGACGGAAAGGAGCCCTGGTGACGGCGTGGGTTAGGCTCAAGGTCCACAGTTCAAACTCAGCAGCCGCTCCCTGGAGAAAGATGAGGCTGTTGCCCATCTCAGACGGCATCTCAGAGGATCAGTGCGATGGCGGTGTGTTTGTCTAGGACTGACAGCGGGGGGCGAGGCAGTGATCCATTGGGGGTTTGCTCTGGTTGGGGATGTGGGGTGGGGTGCCACCATGGGACACATCAAAGTCATTGGAGAGGAGAGGGCAAGAGATGAGTACGCTGAGGAAATGGGGTTAGGTGATGGTGGCGCTGGGGTAGAATTTAGGGGAGGCTGCAGAGCCCCGGTAGCATCTGATTTCAGGTTGTGCAGCTAAAAGTAAGGCCAGCAGTTCGAAACCACCAGCAGCGCCACAAGAGAGAGAAGCGGCTTTCTAGGCTCATAGAGTGGACGCTTCCGAAACCTACAGGGGCAGCTCTGGCCAGTCCTACAGG